ATTTAAATAATAATTTATAAAGTTTTTGGTGACTTTCCAATTTTTTTGATCGTTTTAGACATGCTTTCTTTACAATATAGTTTAGAAAAGTTTTAGGTGACTTTACGTCTATAAAATTTCAGAGACTTTTACATACGTCATATAATTTTTTAGGTGTTTTTAATATTTTAAACACACATTTTTATGTTCTTTTATACAAGATAATATTATATTGCTTACAACTGATATACGATAAATTATATCACATATTAACTCCAAGTATTTGATTTATAATTATTAGTTAATATCGTTTACCCCATCTCTAATTTATAATTATTAGTTAATATTATTTGCCTCATCTTTAATTTATAATTATCATTAATATTTTTACCTGTGCATCGCACGGGGCTACACATTAGTGTGATGAGATATGAAAAATAAAAACAATTATATTTAAAATAAAGTTTAAAAAATGTTTAAAATACGAGCTCCTCCGTGAATCACACGAGATATGCACTAGTATATATAATAAGAATAACCATTTACTAAAAATAGTAGTAAAATTTTTTGGAAGCATTTAATGCATATACCTTTATTGGAAACTTTTTAAATATATGCAATAATTGCTTCCATATACATGTTTCAAATAAGATCAAATCAAATATGATAAAAATATTATTTCCTTAAATAAATTTATTAATATTTGTAATAATTTATTGATATCGATTATAGTAAATTACAAGATTGATTTTTCGTGATTAATGTTGATAATAGTTTGGTCAAGATAAATATTACAATATATTTTAATTTCTAACCACAATATTAATTTGTTTTAAAAAAATATTCACTTTTTATTCAAAAATATTTATAGAAAATCGTAACAGGTTAGATAGGATTTTTTCTTTCAATTAACCAGATGAAATAAAGTTGGTGAATTAATCATTGTCTATATAATTTTTTAAGCTTTATCTTGTTATATATAAAAAATAAATTATTTTTCAAATTAATATAATTCATCATTCAAGAGATAATGACCAGATACATTAAATAGTTTTACTTATGGTCAAAAATTAATATTAAAATATATATCTATTCTTTAGAATTTATTTGTATATAATTGGCAACCATAATTATTTTTTTATCATTTTCTATTTTGATTTATTTCTATAATGAAATTCTTGTAAAATATATTTCATTGTAGAATATGCTAAGTAAATTATAAATCTTTATAAGTGAATGATAAGAATCTTGATTATAGAAGAGATTGATTATTTGGCTTTTCCAAACCAAAGTTGTTCAACTGGTATACAAAATTAAATTCTAAAAAAACATGTGTATAAATTTTGTAAAATATTTATACACTATTTAATTTTATATTTATTTTACAATATTTTAATTGATTACATAAATAAATAATATTAACATGAATGAAATCTTTTTTATTGCATAAAATAAAATTAAGAAAAAAAAAGATGTACAACTTCTATAACATTTATAAATAATAATGGCATTATATGAAATTTATAATAAAATAGTAAATAATATATAGTGAAGAATAATAAGTAAAACTGTTATTTTCTCCAATATTAAGGAATAAATATATATATAAATCAAATTTATATTAGTATAAATGTGTTAGTGAGATAATATTTTAATTATTTTACAATCTAGTACTAACATGCTCATATTTAATGTTCTCACTAAAAAAAAGAAGTTGATTAAAATTAGAAGAGGTAGAAAATAGATTATAACTATGTTGTTTTTTTAGATTTAACGCGGATTAAGAGAGATGGAAAATAGATGATAACTTTATTTCGTTTTAGACTTAAACGGACAAGCATGTGAAAATAATTCATTTAATATTTTTGTCATGTGCATCGCACGGGATACATACTAGTATAAATAGTGCAATGGCAATATTCCTATACATGGCCTTCAAGTACGTACATTCTCGTTAAGGAAAAAGTATAAACTTTTTAATTTTAAACTTACAAAGAATAATATCATTCATAATTCATAAACAAGGTAAATGAATTGAGCAGAGTATATATTCTAAGAAAAATTGGTTTTGTACGATTTTACGGTTCCATTTCTCGTAAGTCGAAGACTTAGAAAATTGTGAAAACCATTTTAATGTGAATGAGAAATTAATTCTAAGTTGTATATGTGGGAAATGTATGGTTGAAGCAATGAGTTTAAGTAACTCATATTATTGAATTCGTAAAATATTTTGTCTTTGATGAATGTTAGGATAATTCCAACAAAACTTGATCATGCAGCTTGCATGTTATAACTCTAGAAGAGTTCGTTGGAGACGCACGAGGGCGTAGCTAGCTGCGGACATTAAAAGGAACCCTTGGTGAATATAAAGTCTCTCTTGGCCTCTAGATGCGTCTCCTCTCGCTCAGTGCATCCCAAATGGTGTATTTTGACACTTAAATCTCTTGGATGTATTTTTCTACATCTATAACTACCGACATATATGAAAAAATCCATAATTTAAAAATCAGAGAACTCTACTTTTCAAATATCATAAAGCATATTGTGTTCTTTGATTTTTTCATTGAGTCTTGAGAGTTCCAAACAATATTAGTGTTCGTTGAAGTCTTGTATATTTCAAGTACCGCTATATACAAGTCCAAGGTCGTTGTATCGTGGATGCGTTTGCCGTTAACCGTGGATATTTTACGAGACAATTTCGTCTTAAGGAGAACGTAATTATTGTGTGCCTCAACTTTGATTTTTGTTTTGTTTTCTTCATTCTCCTTAAGTCGTCCTTTTAATATTGACAAACCACACAAACTACAATCTTAAGACGAAGTTCTTATGAGTTCATAAGGTGGCAACCGAAGGAAACCAAATGTTTTCTTCAAGTGCTCAACCGACCTCTATACCGGCTACTAATCCTTTCACCCTGATGGTAGCTGCTCCCGTCCAAAGTGAGAGACCACCGAAGTTAAGTGGCTCTGTATTCAAGAGGTGGCAACAAAAAATGTTTTACTACCTCACAACTCTCTCCCTCTCTTGTTTACTTTCGGAGAAATCTTTGATCATCTCCAAAAGTGAGACTAACATAAAAAAACATATGGTCTTGGATGCTTGATATCATAGTGATTTCTTGTGTAGAAATCTAATACTTAACAAATTAGATAACATACTATATAACGTGTGTAGCCCAGTTAAGACGTCTAAGGAGTTGTGGAACTCTTTGGAAGCAACGTACAAAATGGAAGATAGCGACACTAAAAATTTTGTCGATACATTCTGTTTGTCCCATTTTTGTTACGTTTTTCCTTATTATTTTCTCATTCTTTTTCCCCCATTTTGAGTCATTTAGCTGATTTTTGGTTCATTTTGTCGTTTATTGTGTGTTTCGCTCTTTTTCGATTTTCTTTGTGTTTCTCGTGTATTTTTCCGGTTTTTCTTTGTTTATGGTGTGTAGGTCGGAAGCCTCGAGAGGATCGGCTTTTAAGCGAAAATTTACCGTGCAAGC